ATAACTGCGCCAAGCATGAGATATAGTCCTTCGTGGACTGTTACGCAGGATATCACCAGGTGTTGATGGATGAAGAAGATGCCGAAAAGACAGCTTTTACCACACCTTGGGGTACATACTGTTACAGAGTCATGCCATTTGGTCTGAAGAATGCTGGGGTAACCTACATGAGGGCCATGACCGCCATTTTCCATGATGTGATGCATCAAGAGATAGAGGTGTATGTGGACGACGTAATCATCAAGTACAAAACCCAGGATGACCATGTTCGAGACCTGAGAAAATTCTTTGAGTGGTTGCACAAATATGATTTGAAGTTGAACCCAGTCAAATGTGCGTTTGGAGTCCCATCGGGCAAACTTTTGGGTTTTATAGTCAGCCGGAGAGTTATCGAGTTAGATCCAACAAAAATAAAATCTATCCGGGATTTGCCTCCTCCGAGAACCAAGAAAGATGTGATGAGCTTGTTGGGCAGATTAAACTATATCAGCCGGTTCATTGCTCAGTTGACATCCACGTGTGAGCCCATATTCAAATTGCTGAAGAAAGATGCGGCAATCAAGTGGACGAATGAATGTCAAGAAGCTTTTGATAAAATCAAGGAATATCTGTCAAATCCGCCAGTCTTTGTCCCACCAGAGCCAGGAAGGCCTCTTTTCTTGTACCTGACAGTCTTGGAAAATTCTTTCGGTTGTGTCCTGGGGCAATATGATGTAACCGGGAAGAAAGCACAGGCAATCTACTATTTGAGCAAGAAGTTTACCAGCTATGAAGCTAAGTATACTCTGCTGGAAAGAACTTGTTGTGCCTTAACTTGGGTCACTCAGAAGCTGAGACATTATCTGCAAGCCTACACCACTTACCTTATAACCAGGTTGGATCCTTTGAAATACATATTCCAGAAACCAATGCCCACAGGGAGATTGGCAAAATGGCAGATTCTGCTCACTGAATTTGACATAGTCTATGTCACTCGCACGGCAAGAAAGCCCAGGCATTGGCAGATCATTTAGCTGAAAACCCAGTTGATGAAGAATACCAACCTTTGAACACTTACTTCCCAGATGAAGAAGTAAACTCAATCGAGGCGATATCCGAGGATACTGCTACTTGGAAAATGTTCTTTGATGGAGCGGTAAACGCAAAAGGTGTGGGAATTGGGGCAATTTTGATCTCACCCACTGGTCAGCACTATCCAGCCACAGCCAGGCTTCGGTTTTTCTGCACAAACAACACCGCTGAATATGAAGCCTGCATTATGGGTATGAACATGGCGATCGACCAAGATGTCGAAGAGTTGTTGATTATGGGAGACTCAGATCTGATTATCCGGCAAGCCCAAGGAGAATGGGAAACCCGAGATGTTAAACTTATTCCCTATTGGCAGCATGTGGAAGATCTTAGCAAGCGGTTCAAGTCAATAGAGTTCCGGTACATCCCTCGTTGTCACAATGAACTAGCTGATGCACTCGCCACTCTGGCCTCGATGTTGCCCTACCCAGGCAACGCCCACATTGATCCCTTGGAAATCCAAATCAGGGAAAGGCATGGTTATTGTAATACGGTTGAGGCAGAACCAAACACCCAGCCATGGTACCATGACATCAAAAGGTTTCTAAAAACACAAGAATACCCCAAGCAAGCCAGTGGAGACCAAAAGAGAACCATCAGACGGCATGCAAGTGGTTTCTTCTTAAGCGGTGATGTCTTGTACAAAAGGACCCCGGATCTCAACTTGTTAAGATGTGTTGACGCCGAAGAGGCCGAAAGGATCATGCATGAAGTACACGCAGGAGTCTGCGGACCCCACATGAACGGGTATGTTTTAGCAAAGAAAATCCTTCGATCGGGCTATTATTGGATAATCATGGAAAAGGACTGCTTCAGGTTTGTTCGAAAGTGCCATCAGTGTCAGGTACACGGTGATTTGATTCATGCAGCTCCGATAGAAGTACATCCCATGTCAGCACCTTGGCCATTTGTCACTTGGGGCATGGACGCCATTGGGCCAATTGAGCCGAAAGCCTTAAATGGACACAGATTCATACTGCTTGCCATTGACTACTTCACGAAGTGGGTTGAATCAATCACTCTCAAATCAGTCACCAAGAAAGCTATGGTAGATTTTGTGCACTCCAATCTTATCTGCCGTTTTGGCATTCCTGCAACTATTATCATGGATAATGATGCAAACTTGAATAGTCATTTGATGGGAGAAATATGCGAACAATTCAAAATAACCCATCGGAACTCTACTCCCTATCGGCCCAAAGCCAATGGTGCC